CCAGCTCGTTGTAATATGAACGATCTACACAGAGAAACTCTCAAGTCAGTTTCATTTGGCATAAACTCTTTTTCAGTAAAGTTCTTTGCTCTTTTAGAACTGGCGGCACTTTGCCAGAGCGAATTCTCGGAGTTTCAGTGCTGAAAAAGGGCTACAACAATGCCAACATCACCCCACTTCACACAGCTGCTATTAATCCAAATGTTAAGGTTAGTGAAATTAAATTAAGCTTTAGACTTTTGAGATTCTCAGAAACATCCTGAATTGAAAAATCCAATTTTTTTATGATATTTATGAGTTGCTCGTTTCATTGTTTTTTGTTGTTTCTCTTTTTTTTGTATCTGTTTTTTTTTGCAAAATTGGTCCACATGGGGTTATGGATTAGTTCATATTTTTGTAGGAAAGTTAGAGCTTACCTTCAATTCAATATAGTGTAGTAGACTTGTATTACTGTTCCTACTATATGTGCTCTGGTGGTGAAAGTGTGGCTTACTAGGTGTGGCGACAAATTAATTGCGCGGACGCGACCACACAGTCTCACTTGCTTCATTGGGGTGAGAGAACTTCTCCCCGAATTCCCGAGGCCTGCAGCAATGGTTACGCGGCGAATCTCCGTATCCTTCCATTGGGAATTCAGATCTTTCCCTTCATAGCGTGCGTCGAAAGCGGCGAGCGCGACACGCCGTTCGGGGAGAAGATACCAGACCCGCTTCATTGCCTCCGAGATTCAGCAAGCGCTCGCAGCAGAATTGGTCGAATTCACTTGGATGGTCTTTTGTTGGGATCTCTGTTGTGCTAATAGTACATGGGCCCAAAATCCAATTAGTGCGAAGTCGGTCCGCTTCAAGGTAAGGTAATACGTAACATATTCGAAGATTTGAAACGTTTTCATTCTTATACAATGTTAAGCTTGCCGTTGAGGCCAAATGGATACTCCACTATAATAATCTCTCTTGCACTGAAGCATTGAATAGATCTTTTTGAGTCTGCAGCACTTCTTCATTGAAGCTTTGGAAATTCGAACTGCCAACTGTAACTTGGTCCAAACAGTCTTTTCATCATTATGTGCAATCAACCGAAATCAGGAACAAATCCGCAACCACGGTAAAATGTGACATCCCAGTACTCGAAGAACTCTTAGTACGGCCACAGCTTCTGGATTAGTACGGCCACAGCTTCTGGACTGCATTTCCATTTCTTCATATCTTCCATCTTTTCCATTCTCTATTGACGTTACCCTATGTCTTGTGGGAGCCTGAAAAGGCGTAACCTTCGTTTCCTCATGGCGATTTTATCTCGACAAGAGCGCCAAAAGAGAAAGAAAGATATCGCATGCCAGTTACCATTAAAAACAGCAAAAATGTAGCAGTAAGGAAGGCAGAGGGCAGACGTGGTGTAGTGGCAAGTAACGCATTTCATACACGCATGGTCACGAGTCCAAATCTGGGATTGATATCTGCCTCTACCGCCCAAGCCTTCTATCCACCCACTGTCTGTTAGTTGGTGCCCTTCTTTCAATACGCCTTTACGATTCTGAATGGGAATGGGTGGGCGCATCACTCAGACGAAGTTGATCATCGCCCCAAGACTATTCCTTAGATTTTTGTCGAGTCATGGACAAGAAGGCTAGACTCTGACGGGACTTCAACCCGTCCTACTGCTTTTCGTGCACGGCGTGCCCTCCTCTTTTGTTATACTCTACCTGAACTGTTCTTTTTCTTACCTCTCAAATGGTTTTTTAGCCTTTGCTTATCAGCGCTTCCATGTATAACGTGAGCCGGTCACCCATATCAACCTTGAAGCAGTAATGCAACAAAAAAGCAACAAAAACATCAAGCATGCAAGTATAAGTAAGGTACTACGCCGCCGATGTCTCGACAAAAGTGCAGGCAAAAAGAAGCCGATGCGGAAGTCCAACCTGAGGCTGTACAATCGGATCTCTTCTATTATTCATTTGACTTAGTTTATAAGGGTGACTTTCCTTGTTTATGTTTCAAGTGGATGGTGCATAGTAAAGCGCTTATTTCTCCCACACTTCGAAATCACACTCCTTAAACCGAACACTGGAGTCTTTGCGTCCTCCTTCCACCTTCGTAGATCGTCCCTAATTTAATGCTTCTTCGTTGTTCTATTCGTATTCCCTCAAACCATCCTACTCTTGGCTCTCATGTCAGCCACCCTATTCTCAGCCGTCCTAGTCTTAGTTTCCAACTTTTTCTGTAGTTTATTTATTAGATGATCATGGCCTTTGCTGTTACTAAAAAGCTGTTTCTATATCTAAAAACACATTTTCACGTTCAACTTTCATATCAAGCTGTTGTTTTCAGATTCTTGAACGTCTCCGCACAATTGAGCCAAATATCAATATCCCAGATTTGAACAACTGGTTTGTTTCCAGATTTTTGGAAAAAATCTTTCATTAAGCTTATTGATAGTGCGATGTTTGTTTAAAATAGTTTTCCTCATGCTGCTGTGAATTTTTATTCTGAACTGGAGCTGCATGGACCGTTTTCTGGAAATATTGCATTTTAGCAAATGTGCTTGCATCTCATTGCTGCAAACGCCATCATAGAGATGGTTTCTAAGATTCGTTGCTGAGACGATTCTGTGGCCTGCCAGGATACCATATGGGATGTTGTTCGCCTGAAAGCGGTCTGGGTGGAGCGCAATAAGGCTTTGAAGGCTTGCAACGCAGGCACTCTCCCCCACAAGCAGCCGTGTTTTAATGGTTTGTAGAAGCTGCACTATTAACGTAGCTGCACATGAGTCGAAATTCAAACAGCCGATTTCCGGGGCATGCAGCGGTTGTTTTCATAGTAACAAACACCTGAATTAACGCCGGGGCCGGCTCCGCATGTCGATTTCTTCGTCAGTGTTCTGGCGGTGAGCTAGCACTGAAGTTGATGTCCCAGTCGATTGGCAGCAGAAACATTGTAGCCAACCCTTTGCGCAGTTGTACTCGGCCAAAATCTCGTCCAAAAATCCATTTCGTGGGCAGAATTTTGTACACTTAACCTGTGAATCGATCTTAGAACTCACATATTTCTCAAATGATGCGAGTTCATTAATTTCCGCCTCTGGACCATTGTTCCTGTTCTGAGTACATGATAACAATATGCCTACCACGAGAAATCGCATGCCGATGACGTCTTTTTTGTTTACTCATAGAACTGGGAGCTGGACGGAGTCGATAGAACTGCGATAGGCTGATCTATTTGTTCGTGCCGCTAATTTCTTTGAGATGATCTGAGGGAAATCGTAAAAGTAGCCTAATAGTTCAAAAATGGTTGGAAAAGGCTGTTTGATCCAGTTTTTATTTCTGTTAGGAGCGACTACATAGAAAATTTTGGCTACAAAGTAATCTCATCATATAATTTTTTTTGAAGGAATTATAATAATCTATTAAAAAACTTAACAGAAACTTCTGATTTTTCAAAATGTCGTCAGCACGTCGCGAAGAAACGTCCTCTGCAGTGTGTGGGAAGCCGGGTGCTTTTAGGGTTTTGAAGGTCATTAAGGAGAGAGGAGTCAGGTGGAAGGAAAGTTATAGAGAGAAGATTCTGGTTGCAGTTCAAACCCTTACAAAGTTTTAAAAAATTCTCAATTAAAAAGCAGTACTGGTAGATTTTTTTTGATTTTACGAAAATCAGTCTGTACAAAGCATGTCAAAGTTCCGAGAAGATCAGACTGAGAGACCATCCATAATTACTTAAGGTATACCATTCACTACGCAGCAGTATGTGAGGGGCCTGAGCCACTCAAATTCCTTTTGAAGAATGGCGCTTCGCCCATGGCTCTGACCAAACAGCATGAGTCACCTCTTCATGTGGCTGCACGAGCAGGAAGGAAGGAGAACATCAAGGTTAGTTTCGTAAGAGGAGAGTTTCTTGTTCTTTGAGACTGGCTTCCAGCCTTGGAAAATCTAGATAGTTTCAGTTAGCCCATTGGTTTTGTCTCTAGAACCTACTTGGACCTTTCAACCCTCGTGGGTTTGCCCTTGAAAACAATTCCAATGAGTGCTTTTCGAGGCTGAACATGGGTGCGTCCATGGCCATTGATTACCGAATATTTCTATGAATCTCGACCTCCAGATGTTTAAGAATCCCACGCAACTAAGGCAGAATGTTGATATTTTGTGTCAGAAGTGCTCCGTTTCATGCGTTGGTAACAAGCTCAGGATACGCCATCATTTTGGCCCCAAAGTAGCATAGGCATTCAATTCATAAACTAAATGATCCATAGTACCCATGGATTGGAGAAATAAGCTTAATGTCCAGCGTGACATATTACCTCCCATAGGGAATTGTGTTGCGGTCACCTCAGCCTTCGACCCCTTTCAGTAAACTTGGCAGTATCAGCGATTACTAGCATTAGTTCAATCTCGACGACCCCAGCTCGATATTTCAGATTCTCTTGGATGCCATCACGAATCTGGAGGCACCCGAGAAAGGTACTCAAGGAATCAAGCCAGAGAAGTCAATGATAAACGCCCGGACAAGGCACGGTGACACGGCTTTGTGCTTTGCAGTTCGGTATCAAAGGTTAGTGGCAAGCCGATTCGCAGCCTTTTGTTTGACCTTGATCACTGCCCTGAATCTCGGTTTCAGAACGGAAGCGGTCGCCACTCTTCTTGCCCATGAAACGGTACTCGTGGATCATCCGACATCCAGTGGTCAAAACAAAATAACACCCCTTATGGTAAGCGACTTTCACGATTGATTCTTTTCTCTTTTAAGTGCTGCTCGGTAATGAAAGCATCCAGTTCTTGTACAAGGCCTTTACCGCTTTCAGATTGCCTGTAGTCTTGGATTTCTGTCAATTGCTGAACTTTTGATCGAGCACGGCGCTCTCATTATGGCAAGGGACCTCAAAAAACGTACTGCTCTCTCGCATGCTGTACTGAACGGGCAAGAGCATTGTGCAGCTATGCTATTGGCAAAAGGCGCTGATCTGCTTAAGGTGAGCTTATGCTACTTTATCCACTTAGGCTTCTGAAACCTTCCATGACAGGGCGACTCCTCTGGCAACACTCCAGCCCATTACGCTGCTGCATATGGATGGCTAGAGTGCTTGAGGTTGTTGGCTAGTGTAGACCCTAGCTGTCTGAAGCAAGAGAACGACTGGAAGCTCACACCGCTATCTATCGCTTATTTGAAAGGTTAGGGAGAAGACGATTCTATTGGTTTCTTTTACTTTTTCTGCAGAAGGTAAATACCACTTCACGAGATTGAGAGAGTTTCAGGTCATTACGGTATTGTTCGATGGTTACTTGAGGAGAAAGCCTCGTTGGTCGACATCAACGGGAAGGACATGGAAGGGGTCACTTTACTGTCATCGCTACTTCGGTATACAAATGAGGATACCCACAGCGAGCTACCCGAGCAAATCCAATATCTCCTATCTCGGTAAGTCTTTTAGTTCTGCAGTTACGGGTAGGCCAATACACCCTCAAAGGGAAGTTCATTCAGTGGAGCAGACTGCTCAGTAGCCGACAGTCTGGGGAATTCGATTATGCATGTCTTCGCCGGCATCAAAATTCGTCTCCGTGATCCAAAAGACGTAAGAAAGGAGGGCATGACGGAGAAAGAGTATCGCTCATGCTTCGACTCAATCATGAAATGCGGTGGAAATGTGGAATCGAAGAACGAAAGCGGTAATTAGCTGTTATCCAGTAAGAGGGTACTTCAGGAGTTTGCTCGCTGCATTTCAGGAGAAACTCCCTTACACATCGCTCTGCTTTCGGCGAACTTGCTGCTCTTCCGCTGGATGCTTGAGTATGTAGACGATATAAGGGCTGTACTGGTGGATACGTGGTGAGTTCAATCTTTGCGCTGCAGCGCCCATTTCCTTTATTTCCACTATTTTTTGAATCTTTTGTTGTTTTCGCTCAACGAACAGCCCAGAGGGGGAGTACGTGATGGCGATGGGTATCGATTCCTGAGAGGCGTAGATCCCTGCAAAGTGTGACAAGGGTTAAAGCAGGCCAGATTTCAGTTAGCTCTTTAGAATTTTTTTTTTCAAAGTTCGTCTTATGAGATCCTCGCTACGTCGATTACGTCAGATTTCGGGGCTGGATGGGGAAATAGTGACTGGGCAGCTAACATCATTGAGGGAAGGAGCCGCGCTCAGGGCCATCGTTCCCATAATTGGCTTTCGGCTGCTCTAATCGGTACCGAACTTTTCTGCAAGGTCATACACAACAGGAACTTTGGACAACAGTAGTTCGTTACTTTGCCCTTATGCTTCTTCTAGTGAGTACATCAATTTAGATATCTCTGACTTTTAACATTGAAGGTCCTCGGATTTTACCCTACTTCACGTACTTCTTGAGCTACCGATGAAAGTCTGGTCGAACAACAGTCTATGGCTTGAGGAATCTCCACCATCTATGCATCTGTACGATGTGATGCCAATCATCAATGATATCCTTATGGCTCGTAATAATCTTTCGATTTATTCTGATACTTTGAATTATTTGTAAAACTGCTCCAATCAACTTTAGAAACACTGCAATGGAGAAATCGAGGTATGGCTACGACAAACGAATTCGAACGGTCTTCAGCCAATTCTCTATGCTGCAGAAGCTTATTCCAAACTCGACAAGCCCCTACATTGTCAATCTGATGAAGCTCAAGTGAGTTTTCCAATTACGTTTTTTTGAATATTTTTCTATTCAATCTGTTTCTTCTAACTATAATAATACCGAACTTTTCTGGACTATGTTCAATAACAATATGAGCAGTTTACTGTTTTCTTGAACTTTTCACGAGGTTCTTAAGTTGCTTTTTTTATTTATTATTATTTTTATTGTCTGGGGTGGTCTACAAAATTACTTGCCGTGATTGTGGTGACGAGTATTATGGAGAAACGGCAAGATCACTCCACGTGAGTGTTAAGGAGCCCTCAGATGATGAGGCGATTGAAAGAGTCTACTGCCTTGGGGAGTCACCGAATTCAAAAGCATAACGGAGGCGTTTTTGAGGTCCCCGTGGAGGTCGTAGCACAGGAATCGCAATTGTGCACACGTAAAACACTCGAAGCATTTTGGATACAGGTCACCAGTCCCCAAATGAATCGTAGGGAAGAATGCCTCGCAATCACGCGCGAGCTACGACCTTATATAAGGCTGGCCTTCCCGCAGAGACTTTAATGAGGACATACCCCAGCTGACACTGGTCGGTTGGTACCATCACTCGCTGGGTGGTTTCGAAGAGTCCACAAAGCTACGGTGAGTGGTTCTCCTTTCGACCACCTGCGTGCCCTGGGGGTCTCGAGCTTAAGTGGGGTTGGTGAAGACGTCTGATCAGATAGTCACAGATTGTTATGATCCTTTCAGGCTTTGAAGAAGGCGATTCCGCCCAAACGTCAGCCCAATAAAGCAACGTAAAAGCCTCGTGAAGAGTTCAAGAAAACAGTAAGCTTAATGATGCAATTATGCCGAGGTTCACAGAAAGCCGTACATGGAACCTGAGTCTGAGCAATGTCAAACTGTCAGAATACATGTTCACTCTTCTTAATCAAGCTGCAGTCGATCAATCGACTTATCGTCTGCTTGCTTGCTTGCCCTCAACACGAGTAATCCATGGATCCGTCAGAGATTTGTGAAATGAAGAGGAAGCCATCGTTTTGTTATACGTGTTTGTGATTCATAAGGCCAAGTTTAGAGTAAATGGAGAAGATGGGTTAGTAGGAAATGGCGCACTATCATCACACGCACGCGTTCCGCGATTCCAATGCGGTTGTACTCAGTCAGGTCAACCGGGCATCCATCCCCCTGGGATTGGTCATTTGCTACCAGCTCGTCTGGGAGGTTCGAAGCGCTGACTTCTATTATACTTTGGCTGGCTACCGCAATTGATCGTATAGGCCACACACGCATTTAATGCCTACTACGATCCTAATTGAAAGTTCAGTGCGGGGACGTATTCCAAAACGGAATTGATCAGTGCCAAAGACTTTATGCTCGAAGACCAAGGCTTGAATGAAAAAGTTCATAACTTCCCTAAATGCGAATTTAGAAAAATATTGTGTTCAAATGTCAATTATCCCAAGTCGGAAAAGGTTGGACTTTTAGTCGTGTTTTATTCTTTATTTCAGTAAATTTGTTTACTTCGTTTTTTATTAAATTCATTCAATCTTTCAGAATTTCGTCGACTATGTTAATCGATTGTTCATGTGGGGTTGTGATTTGTGTCCGGACTGTTTGACGATGAAATCGGAACCGAAGAAGGCTGGTCTTGACGAAAGCTTCTCGGATCGTTCTCCTGCTACCACTTTACCTTACATTGCACTCAACATTAGGCTCGAAGACGGCAGCTTACGCTTACTGAGACAGATACTCGAGAAAGCAGTTCAGAAGAACGTATTGAGGTCAGGGATGTTTTAGTTTTTTATTTTTCTTTTTTTAATCTTCTTCTTTCCTCATTTAAGAATAGTAATCAAAAGTTCTATGTAAATTTCTTTTAATTACAATAACATGCCAAAAAATCTCAAATGTCCATGTCCTTTATGCGTATTGCTTTCCCCAGTTGAACGCCGACGCTTTTGTCCATTATCAGAAGGCCGATATGGCTCTCTTCCAAAAATTTTCTCGTCTTTTCCAACCACGACCAAGTTATTGATTCATGGAATGTTTTATATCTTCTCGAATTACTTTCATTAACAATTATATCGCTATTGTCGCATTTGTGTGGACATCGACGATCGCATGATTTTGTGTTTCTCCATTCCAAGCTAGTAAGCAACTTCATGAAATGGTTTTCCTTACTGACATCCCCCCCCCCCCCCCCCCCCCCCCTTNGGGGGGGGGGGGGGGGGGGGGGGGAGGGGTTGGGGACTGGATTGCAAATTCAAATGGGTTTTGATCACTTTTTGGGACCCGCTTGGCTAATGAAATCAAATCAACAAATCAGTTTAATAAATTTGCCGAAGGTATCTCTGCCAATGTCTTTGGTCTTTGTCTGTTGCATCACTGTCAACTTTTCTGACCTATCAACGTTATCTATCTATCTGAACCCAACACGATTCGGCTCTGATAGTGGCACCATCTATCAGAGCCCAATTTTATTGGTTTCTTTTAATTTTTAAGTTCAAAAAAGTCTTTCCGATGAGAGGTCCTATAAGGATTTGTAATTCCGCAATGTTCAATATGGAGAATGTCCCTTGTGATGGAAATGTCATTCGTTTTCGTTGAGATGACTTCGTAGTGCTGTAGTTGCACAAGTAAATTAACGAGTAGTCATGTAGGGCTATAGGGGAACACAGGCAGGTACCCTTTTTTACCTCTCTGGTTAGAAACTTATAGATTCGGCCTACGGGATCAATCTTTGTTTTACATTCTCTCTTCTGTTTTCTTTTTCCTGCTAAATAGCCAACTTAGAAGCACTGGTGCTAGAGAAGCCCCAAGTAGAAATGAAATTCTGGGGTATCTTATTCTGATAACGATAGCTGACTACAACTTTAACAATACGTTCTTCAGTTTGTTTTCAGAAATGTGCTCGCTTTGGAAGGGCAGGGCGGCTTTGGACTGGTGATATCTGCGTTGAAACGAGATCCAAGCGCTGCTCGTTTGATCCTTCAGACAACGAAGCAGTATGGTTGCGTAGATGGTGTACACAATGCAGTGCTTCGCTATGAAACCAAGCCGAAAGAGGGCGAAGAAGGTACGCTTTTAAGGAGTCCACTCAATGACGCACTGTATTTTCTCATTGGAACCATTTTGGGACGTTCCTAGCAAATGTTACGCTGATTATTTTTTTCGGAGGGTGAACTTCCGGTTGAAGACCGGCTACCACGGCACACATAGTTATACTGTAGGGATTCTTAAAGTGATTCATAAATTCCTGTTAGTTCAAGCAACCTTGAAGGCGCCATTCACGGTAATTGCGAGGTATCTAGCACAAGAGAAGTAATGGAAATAATGGTGGAATAGTGCAAAAAAATGGGTGAAGAAAGCGCGGAAAGTAGCGATTTCAGGAAATATAAGGCTTTAAAAGTAGTAGGAAAGAGAATTGTTCGAGATTAAGTTTTGTGAACGTTAAGGTGTTTACCACATGAGCGTACTATTCGTCGGTATCCTAGGCTCCACTGTGAAAGGTGCAGCCTTAACCAGGCCGTCACGGTTACATAGTCACTTCTGGAAGTGTACGTTAGCCAAGCCGATTTTGGAACTCCTATAATGCCCTGACCATTTTATTTTTCGAACTGTCAGTGTCCCATGTGCTATCCTGGGAGACCACAGGTTCATCCTAAGGGAAAACCGCAGAAACTATTTCTATCGTGAATTGTGTCTTCAAAGGGGCCATCTCCCGGATGTGTAACGTCAGTGTATGTTCAATGTGGCCCGCTCTCTTTGTCTTTCACCAGTGGAACTCAAGTTTGACAATCATTCTGGTTTCAACGACCTATTGTGACTATACGAAGGAAATTTAACGCGGTTGAATCCCTTATGAGACGCCTTCAACCATTCATACAGGCTCATGATGGCTTCCGAAGGCTGACTTGACATTAACACCAGCGTAACGTGACTGTGTACCATTTCTCCCAAACAACTCTATGCACTTAAGAGTCCTTTATGGTCCGGTAACTAGATCGCTGTTGATCTTTGATTTCTTTCTTTTAAGGAAAGCCGGTGAACAAATCACTCGCAATGCTGTTTGTCGAGCAGAAGGCATTCGATCTGGTGTACGAGCTGCAGCTCAGCCCTACTGATTGGGAGCACACCGATGCCAGTTCGTCTCATTACCATAGACCTGTGCTGTCGCTTAGTGGAGAGAATCTTGGTTATATTTCAGACGGTGACAATCTATGGCATTATGTAGCTAGAGCGCAAGATTTGAGAGCTGTGGATCTGTTCCGATTTCTGGAATCTAAAAAAATTCCAATGAAGGTAAGTGGAATTAGAGGGAAGAAATTAAATATTTGCTCAGATATAGGAACTTGTCTTTTAGGGGAATAATCAAGGATATACTCCTTTGCATGAAGCTGTGCAATCATGCGATTGTTCGACGAATTCGACTCTCGAACCAATCGAATGGCTGGCTGCTAACACCACGGACATTCCTCGAGATGTGGTGAGCACAGCTGAATCATAGGTTTCGGATTTGTAGTACTTCTATAAACTGAGCAGAATTCGGAATATCATCGCAAAACCCCAAATGATCGGCGAATTTACCCGTCAAAGAATGATCTCCTAGAGATAAAACCTCTAAAATCATTGCACGCGTTAAATTGGTGCACTGAGAATGGTAATGAGGTATCGTGAGATTTTAGATTGAACCTGTGACCAATACGTCCGAGTCTGGAAAGTCAAATACAGTTGCGATCCATTCTGTTCCAGGTCAATTGAAAGTCTCTATAGAACTATTCAAAGCAATGCCAGGATTTATTGAGGGTCGAACTTGGCTACTCAGGAAGCGAGTTATTCAGTAGTGTATATGTTGGGAGGAAACTAGGGAACTGATCCAAATCACCAAAACCCTCATTTCGAGTTGTCATGTGATAACTTTCAATGTTGCTTCATCACAGGAGTTACCACAGGCGGTTCTGAATCCTTGGCTTGTCTTTGCAACAGGAAGTTAGTGAGTACGACATCCAACAGCTTGTTGCGCAATACACTCTTTTTCAAGAAGGTTGTTCCCTTCGGCTCTTCGTTTGCTGTGTTGTCATGGGACTACCGAGGTTAATTGTCTGATCTTGTTGGACATTGAGTCAGTGAGGAGGCAATGGAGAGAAAACTGGCGAACTGGAAAATTGAAGACAGGATACTGGAGGACTGCAGAACTAAAGATCTAGCCCAAACTTCCGGTTTTGTACCCCAAAAAGGGGATGTGGGCGGTACAAACGTGTTGTCCTTTGGTAAAGGAACTTACGGAGTTCCAGTGTTTTGTACTTTGGGGTAGGAACTTACGAAATTCCATTGTGTGGGATTTCGTCCGAGGTATTGATCGAATACTGGAGGTTTTCGTTTGTTCCCTCATGATTATGAGCAAGTTTTATGACATTACGGTTGGCAAGTTGCAAATTTTGTAGAGCGGGCAGAGACCCATCGACATTGGCTGCTTTCATAGTACGCCGGCCGTCCCGCGAGCGCGCGACTACTAGGCCTGCGGTATCGATCAAGATTCAGTTGTTAACAAGAAGCAAGCGCCGCCTCCGGCCGGGTGCTCGCGGGACGGCCTGCGGACTATGAAAGCAGCCATTGTGTCAAACGTTTCTGGACGAATGTTGTCTTCGATACGCAGGAAATTTCAGTTCGGACGAACTCCTCTCCACTACGCTTTCGCCTCTCGATCGCAGTTTACCAAGAATGCACTTACCAGCGAACTTCGCGATCCGATTGCCGTTGTATCGATTCTTACTCGTAACATGAATAAACAACAGGTAAACTGGGAGCGTCGAAGGTTCAGCTGGCACTTGAGTTCAGTGAATTTTCAGCTCGATTGGGGTGACTGTGAAGGAAATACGGCATTGCACTTGGCTGCTTTCAAAAATGCTAACATCTGTGCTGTTACGCTTATTCGTAAGGGAGCCAGTGTATCTATCAAAAACAAGGTTAGTTTCTGTCCCAGAGATCTTTTCTTTCACTGAAGAAAGAGGTGTTGTCAGGAAGGGAATATACCACTAGCAATCGCAGTGCTGCATGGACGACAGTCAGTAGCGCTCACGTTGATTCAAGCCGACAGCAATGTTACCGAGCAGGTGAGAGTTTTGCCTGATCTTGCATTCGAGAGCTAATTTCAATAGGAATTTCGGTGGTTATTCTGTATTAAGGTGTTTCCTCCAAAACCTAAGGAGGTCGAGGACAATGTTTGGAAATGGAAAGGTGTGCTTGATACGAAAGAGGAGCCGTCGGTGTCTACGATTCCTGCCCAGATCGTCGCAAAAGGAGGAGTATGGGAAGCAATGGTTTATGTACTGCTGGATACGTTGGGAACGGTTAGTTATTCTTGAAAAGTGGTCACGACTTAAACAATGAGAACAACAACGAAAACACAACAACAACAAAAAAACAACAAAACAAGGAAATCATGAACTCCTTTTCAATAAGTGTTTCGTGTCATAAAATCGAAATTTTTTTGCGTTTTCGGGGATAACATTTTCACAGACATGATAAATTCGAGGATAGTCTAGGCCCCGGTCTTTTGGCTTTGTTCATTCCCGTTTTGAGATGCTCCTCCACACTCAATTACCCGCATTAGATTATTATCCATTTAGAATCGTTTTAATGTGTGAAGGGCCTACACCATGGCTTGAGGTGGCTCTATGTAAAAGACTACGCTTCATTCTTCTTCAACAGGCGTGGTTCCAACTAAGCGACCGCGGAGTTAGGAAAGCTCGTTTAACAGGGGTGCATGGGTTTCGTTCTTGAACCATTTGTGTGGTAGTGGGTCATTTTAGACCGCCCAACTTTCCCCTCACAGTCCACGAAATTCTTCGAGAACTGATTTTATGACAAATGTGAATACAGTGGTGTGTAAAACTTAGGAACGATTCAACTTCCGAGTACTATACCTCTGCAGATGACGTAGTTCAATCAGATTTATACCATACCAAGTGAGGACCATAGCGGCATAGCGCAGAAAGCAAGTGACAGAAATTCGAAACGAGACGCTTGGACTTGCCACTTTTATTCGAAGATACCTATTAGTTATAGAGTTCTTCAAAACTTATGGTATTTCAAAAATGTGACGCTTCCCCGATAGAGTGTGTGATTATCACAGGCAGCAATACGTGCCGCGCGATCCCATGCTTCCCATTTTCAGCGAGTTCCTGCGGTAATGCATTCTATTCCTCTTTCAGCGCATTTGACTTTCGCTGATCGGTGATCGGTGCATTTGGACGTGCCGCATTGCGTCTACCCAATATATCCCACAAGTGCTCGATGGGATTGAAGTCAGGGGAATGGGCAGGCCCTGGCCAGACATCCTCTCGTTCTAAGAGCTCCTGAATGGACGCATATGAGTGAGGAGTACCTCGTCACAGTAATGCTGGCTCGTAAGGGGGGGGGGGGAGAATTACAAAGTATTGCGTGTCGTGCAAGGAGACCGCCATCGTGCAATTATCGTGCCATTGTAGTGCATAGATGGTTGGCCTTGAAGTTTTCTTGAATGTCATTGCAATCACAGAAGCTGATTGATGTAAATCTCTTCGTATCTGCTGCGTAATGTAGTGGTCACCCTTTGGTTTAGCTGTTCTCAGTTGACCACCTACTCTTCTTCGAGGAGCAGTTCCAGATGTTCGGAACGCTCTTGATACACATGAAACAAGCGATGTGAAACAGTAACAACAAGCGTGAGCGATACCGATTTCCTGGGCTACTTCGTTATGGGTCGACCTTCTCCGAATTTCCCAATGATCCTTCATACGAAGTCATCCAGATGATGGTTGAGGACATGTTGTATTAGAGATGACGAAGACCTTCTTTATGCCCACCAACTGTCCCGATTTCCGCGAGCAGCCATATTCCGCCCCTTATTCGAGCTCTTCTTCCACGCAGTTTAATTCTTGTGCATAACAGTCATAGGTCTAGCTATATGCTCCCACACTTTCACTTATTTCCTTACAGTCGTTAATGTTTTATGTTGCTTTATCCATCTCGTCCCTAAGTTTTGTAAACCAGTGTAAATTTGAGTCGATTGAAAGTAGTAAAAAAGATTTACTTGCAGAATATAACATCAATGGTACAGTTAATAGATGCGTCTTTGAAAGAACGGCAGTACAATTTGGCAAATCAACTGTTGAAATCCCTCCAAACTCGTGTTAATGGAAAGAAACTGCCTCGAACCGAGTATAATCTCCTGCTAACCTTTGCAGATCATTTCCGAGGTATTTTCTAGTATACACCAGTGACGGGCTGGACATTCATGATTATCCGAACAAACTATCTTCAGGTGAACTGTCCGATGATGGCGTCGAACACGCGGTTCTGCATCGCCTTTACTTACTGGGCTGTGAAGTGATGAACGACGGCGTCAGTTTGCCCATAGAGTCAGCTATCCGCCGTGGTTCCTGGTCGCTTTATAGACATTTTAAGGTAGCTTTCTCATCAGTTGGTAGGAAACAGTTATAGTTTCTGTGGGTTGGTTTCAGTACGTCAGGCTAAAAAATTTTATTCAGGACCTAAAAAGGAGTAAAACATTGCGAAAGCTATTAATCCGATCTCTTCGTTGAAGTCGTTTTGCCTCATGCTTACGTTGTCATACGATACGGTGCTGTTACCAGTATCTCACAGAGGACATCACTTAGTCAATGGGGAATGTAAATGTGTTTTGCGACCCTTTAGCATGTATTTTATGAAATTGCACAGCAACTTCATGCACATGAGATGCAAACCCTCATGCCACGCCTGCTAGGTCATTCCTTCGTTACACCTTGTTACACCATCTGCCACAACTTCTCGACCTCGAAACATGCTCGGCAAGGTCCTATATCACATAGAAAAAATGCTCTCGTATTTGGATGCCAGATCCGTTTTGAGATTCGGAATGAGAATTTGACATCAGCGTCCAAAAACACATATGCGGATATACATCCCACTTAAGTGATGACTGCGACCAATATCCTTCCCTTGCTAGTCCAGTTTTGAGAATTCTATGAAGCCCAGTTTCACCCGAACGCACCTTACAAAAGCCATGCTGGGGCGAAGAAATGATGTTGTAATGCTCCGGGTGTGCAACAAGACTGCACTTCATGATCTTCTCGAAAGCTGTGGTGAAAATAGGCGTGATGCGAAGAGGACGATGATTCTCACAATGATTGAGGGGAGCCTTTTTGGAAATCGGAACATCCAAGAAGGGTCAAGCCTGGACATCAGCTCTCATGGAAGACAGGCTCAAATGATCCTCAGAGTGATGAAGAATGTTTCGAGCATATTTCCCTCATTCCTTGGTGAAAATACTTTCTTCAGTTCACCTTTGTCCAATGCTATCTCTATCTCTACTTGTGAGAAGAGCAAAAAAAGTAACGCGTCGCGAAATCAGGACAAGAGTGGAAGGTTTTGTAAAAAACATCATTCCACCGTAAAATATCATTCCACGCTTGTGAAGTTTTAGCTTCGCAGTGGAGGTGAACATGTAGGTGCAACCTCAAATCGTCGTGTCATGGTCAGCTTTCGACACGGGAAACCGCATGGCGAGTCCAATGCGGCTTTGTCGGGAGGCCTCGACCGCAGCTTCAAAGCAGCCAAGCTTTCACTATTGCAGCGTCAAGTGGCCTTCATTAGGCCACTCGATAGCGCAGATTTGGTCTTTTTTTTCTTGGGCATGTTGTCAAGTAGAGCTGATTTCATCTGTAGGCATAATGCTCCAATCGAAGGCACATTCCACATTCAATGCAATGCCGTAAAACACCAGTACAAGGACCTTGAGAGTTTTCAAGCCTCCTTGTTTGAAAGCCTTCGTGTTTCTGTATTTGTATCTGTATTTGCTTATTACACAGGCTTCCCTGTGTAGTGCATAGAGGAGGGTGGGGGGGGGGGGGGGNGCATAGAGGAGGGTGGGGGGGGGGGGGGGGGGTTGTGGGTTTCTTCGATGTTAGCGAAGCGAATGTACTTACGAAAGTGTTCAAGTAGTAGCAGAGGCTAGTGAAATGAGCATTTTCCATCAGCACTTGTCAAGTCATCCTTCTCGAAAGGTCTCGTTTTCATGCTCTTTTTCAATGATATTTTTCATAGGTACGTGCCGGAAAAGATTTTGCTTCCCTTCGACCGTCTCAGCCGACCCAAGGACCCCTGAGGAATGCAGTGCTGCGTCTTTCAGAACGGTGTGATGCTGACTCTGATGTAGTACTGCGTGAGCTCGCATCTTTGCCACATTTCAGGTGGGTTCGCGCTATTCGCTCATCTGTGCAAAATACTCCAAACCTAGCAATTTTTTTTTTCGGGAAATGAGGATGAGACTCATTAGAAGTGCTATAGGCTACAGTTTTGACAAAATTCAGCAAATGAGGCTCTGCAACTTCCCCTTATTTGAAGAATGGAATGCTTTTCTTTCAATTCATCAAATCTTTCAGCTTGGACGAGCCGCTATCTCTGCCCCTACCGTACGAACTGGCAGAAGCTTCACTGACGTCGCTATGTCCAATAGCATGGTGCTGTGCATTGGGAAAAGATCAACTCGTCCTCCGATTGAGAGCAGCTGGGGCTGATGTTAATGCACCGGATTTGGAAGGACGAACTCCGATGATGATTGCTGTCCTTGCGAACAAAGAAACTGCCGTCCAGGTGTGGCAATTATCGACAAGGGTTTATCCACTATTCCTCTTACTGCTTTTGATTTTCTTCAGGCACTTTGCGGTGACGGGTCAATGTCGATGTCCAAGAAAATTACGCCGAAGAAAACGGCGGCGCATACAGCGACAAGACTTTTTCTTGGAGCAATTAATGGACGAAAAAGAAAAGCTTCTGAAAGTGACGGCGATGAGGAGGATGAACGTGCTGAGACTGAAGAAGAATCTGAAGCTGGCAGTGAGCGGTCAGAGACAGAGAGTGCAGCTGAAGATGAGGCTGAAACCGAAAAGGACGATACTGATTTCTCTCCTCCGAAAAGGATTCAAATTCTTAACAGAAATGTAAGTACAATAATTCGTCTTGGTAGAATTAACACAAATGCTCAAGAGTCAGATTTCATTTTAAAATCATCGTCTAGGTGTGCCATCTTGCAAATCTTATCGTTATACAGTGATCTATGGTTGTCAACACGACTTGAAGATCTTGGAATCTTCTCAGTTCCTGTTTTACTTTTTTTGACAACCATTGTTGCTATTCATTGGTGAAAATGTACTTGGGGAAGGGTATCCATGGTCTCTAACACTTAGCGCTGGAGTGCAGAGAAGGGGATGCAGCCGTCTCAACCAATTATTAGGTTGAGTGAAAAGTTTGACCGACTATTCATCTCTTTCTAGATTCTTCTGGAAGGCTACTCGGAAGGGTCTTATAGTAGGTTATGGTAGAACGACTCGAACCTGTTTTTTAGTGGGGTATATAAGCATGCGTTTGTAGGTGTTTCGCAATTATGACTTCAACCTTCAACTGTCTACCGAAGCTATCTGAGAACAATCGTCTATTACGAATTTCTATGAAAACAAGTTCTATCGACGGCTGTAGCAAATATCTGTGGTGCTTTAAGAAGAGGCATCGTATCTCAACCCACGGGTGCCTCGTGACGAACCACCTCCAGGACAGCAGATTAGTGGACCTCATCATTCAAGGAAGGCTTGCTGTGTGTGTTCATTATCCCACATTCACAAGAGGTTACAAGGTTTTGGACTTAGAATCGAAAAACTCTCTCATGTACTTTTTGCAGTCCTCCAGCGGATTTAACTCTTTTCCATTCCAAGAACTCTGCACAAACCTGAACAAGTAGTAGTCTGATGGTGCTCTGTCCGGACTATGGCGAGGGTGTGATAAGATGTCAGAATCAAGCTCCAGCAATTTTTGACGAGTGGCCAAAAATACGGAGTTCTGATGTGATATGGAGTTTTCTTGTTGGAAGACAGCGCCTTAACAGTCCTGGGTGTTTCTGGTCTATCGCTACCTTCAAATTGTTCAGCTGAGTACAGCACCTTCCCGAAGTGATCCTTACTATATATAATCCTATTCACTTGGCGTCCCGTAGCAATGAGTCGGTAACTCCGCTGGTTTAACTTTCATCGCTATATCGCATAATGTCTCCGGTCTGCCTGAATTTCGACTTTCTGGCGTAAGCAGAGGCGTCTCTGGTCTTCCTTTGTTAACGAGACTCCGAGCTCCGGATTCTCTTCTGTGCACGCATGTAAAGGGAATTCCGAGTATCGGAATGCCTTTTTTCCTAAATGCTCCTCACATCGCGCGCTTCCTTCTGTTTAACCCCATACAGAGGTCGTTATAACGTTGACTTCTCGTCCACAGGACCGAAAAACCAGTCCGTTCTTCATGAACATCCTTTTTGGTAAGTTCAACCCAAGCCCTGAACCGCTCTTTCCGCAGGTACTCTTGAATTCGGTCAGCACTCGTTCCCGTAAGTGTAAGTAGCTGCCGTCTGCCTTGTCTCCTGAGTCTTTTCATTTCATTGACGCATGATGTTCTCGAGACGGCATTAGAAAGATTTGGCAAAATGCTTTTGCCTTGCTCAACCATTTTCTTCATGTTGATAATGACATTTTGTAGAATGACGAGATCCTAGTCGTGAAGAATGTAGAGCTCACGATGCATTATCATGTATTTAGAAACACCCTGATCACCCAGGGTTTCAATTACCGGTTCTGTCTCGACAGTATCAACAGCCTTCTTCAAACTGATGAATGTCAGACATAGCATCCTGTACTCTCGCAAAACTTCAATGAGTCTTGTGGCAGTGTGGATGTGTTCGGTCAGTTTCAACCCTCCTCGAAACCCTTCTAGCTCGTATGGCTGTCTTTCATCTAATATCCTGCCGATCCTGTTAAAAAGGACACATGTGAAAAGTTTGCCCTTAATATAGAGCAGACGGATTGGACGATATTTGCCAATATCGGCGGGATCTTCCTTCTTATACAGTAACACAGCCTTGCTAGTTTTCCACGGCATACGACAGGCATTTGGATTTCGACAGGTGTCGTGTTTAGCTGTTCTACTTTGATTCTATCGATACCATCGACGTGATGGCGTGTCGAATTTACGAAGTTGAACTGAAGGAGCGACATATCTGCCTTGTCTGGTAGGCAGATGGTGGGTAGGCAGATAGAGGTCAATGTTGAAGAGATTTGAACAAAAATTGTAGATGACTTTACTTCATGTCCTTTGAGATGCAGTAACTACTCTTCCAGGACGACGAAGGGAAATCATCTTGGTCTTGGTAATGGCGGAGCTCCAGCAAGCTCTGCGAGTGCCTTTTCCTGCCTCGGCGACTTCGCTCATGACTGCTCCTATTTCTTTCAAATCTTCCATTATCGCTCCTCTGCATAGCTTCGCAGTAGGACGTTCGTTGAATTGCCTGTAGCTCGCGCGATTCGACGTCGACGTATCAGCTAACGAATATTCGGAGAAAGGATTTCCTCGGCTAATTGTAGAATTCTTGCTTACCTAGCTTTACCGTGAAGATATTCAACGAGCGGTTGTGTTCTTCTTCGATGTTGTCGATAACGGAATTTTCCCGAAACCTTGCTATGAAAATGAAGCGGTCTCAGTTGATATAGGTTTTGGAGCTTCTTTGACCAAACTTCGCACCTCTCTTTCCACGCATTGAAAAACAAAATCTAGCCGGGAGGAGCCGATGTTCCAAAGCCGTGTAGAACTTTGGAGCAACAGCGACGAACGCCTGATTCTGGTTGTCAAGCTTCCTTATGAATCTAATATTAATGCCAAGTGCCTGTTGAGGAGAACACCTACGCCACCAGCCTCTTTCGGCCCTGGGATTTAAGCAGCCTCTCCTGAGTAGCCCTATCCAACGCTGCCGCATTTGGGCTCCCTCATGTTTAGGGGGTTGAGGCCCATCTATATTACTGCTTGATGTTTAATTACTGGAGGCAGCTCCGAATCGCCTCCCAGTTTCCCAGTCACTCGAATGCAGGCTATTGGCCTATTCGATGGGCAGGATACCAACTGCACTCGCAGACTCTTCGTTATGGATACCCGTGCTCTCGGGCCGCTCGAGTTGAGGCTGCCTGAAGGTCTTCGGGCCGCCCCGCTCCATTTGTTAGTGATCATATGCGGCGAGATCTCTTTGTTTATGGTCTTTCCTCCCACTCAGACATACCTTATTTTCAAGCTCTTTTTCAGCTGGATCTAATGGTTAGTGATCGCAAAGGAAGGAACATCGTTCATTACATGGTCGAGCCGATTCCATGGGAGAACATCGAACTTCTGAGGAAGCTGCACAAAGAAGCGCCGGCAAAGATCAAGCAGTTGTTGCAGCAAAAGAATAAGGTTTTGACAGTCTCTGAACTTTTTCTGATTCCCTCCCATTTGTTTTCGTTTTAGGATGGCAACACACCATTAGACATAGCTGTGAGAACGAAACAAAGAAGAATGGCATCCGCTATGAAGGAACTGCTTGGTGGTTCGGCAAAGAAGGCAAAAATGAGCAATGGGTACGTCATCATTCATCGAATACGTCCAACAGGACTTAACAGAATCACTACATAAACAAACCGATCGGCATTCAAGTGGATCACCACATGGTTCACCACTAAGTAATTGGATCATGATAGTACACAGAATTGAGTTCCTTTCGGACTCATCATATTTCAATACTCATAACGAGGTAGCGCTCTTTCATGAAGAGTTTTCATAAGTGTGTTCGGCGAATTTGTTTTCTTTCAGAAGTTCTCGAACACCAATCGTGATCCAGCATTTGTATGTACGTTCCAAGTAGAGGTTGAATGCACGGCACGTTTCATAACACTGAGTGATGGAGCTATCTTTGCTCACTTTTTCGGTAGGGGCCAAAATGGATGGCTGAATAATCCGATGCCGAATGTGTCCCTACATTGGAAGACGATGGGTGGCGGTGCTTTTACCTGGATACCACGGCGAGCGGGGAAGACGAGCGTTAGGAACGATTTTGGGTGATCGATTTGCCGCACGCGGCTGTCGCGGACCATTTGCCCCATTATAACAGTTCTAGCGTTCTTCATACAGCTCGATCGATATGCGATCATTATTTTATGCATAATTCTACTATTAGTACTTTTAATCTTGTTCTTCTTACATACTGCTGCATCCTGCTACATTCCTTCGCGCGCGACGCCCCTCTCACCGCGACGCGACCATTTCGCTCCTAACGCACCACACTCCGGCGAGCGGCAGTGCTTTCGCGACGACTACCGTCTGCTTCCACTGGATATTCAATCTTATTGACTTCCTGGACCTGTTTCAAGTGAATCAAAGCTATGTCTTCAAGCTATCGTTCAGTAGCGAGTTGTCCTATGTTTGCCTACTTCTGGTAGCCATTTTCTCTTTCGACGACCCTAAGGTGAGTGTCTAGCTGTAGTCTTTGGCGGAACTACTAGCTATGAATTACTCCAACTATGAGGAGTGGTGAAGGTGCGAGGAATTATGGGTATTGCTGCCCATTCTTCACCCAATGCTCCCGCTCTACCCGTCCGCCTACCCCACCCCATGAATGTATCGGAATATAAGATTTGTGAACAAGATTGTATCGGAAGATTTGTGAAAAAATAATTAGTGATCTGTCAAGTAGTGAATGAATCAGTGGAGTGGCTTCGGTGAGGCCGTGTTCGAATACTTGTGTGCCTCGTACAATCTTTGTGGTGGCCAGCCAATATGTAGTGCAGAGTTCCTACACATCTCCTCATCTTCAGAGCGGAGTTTGTGTAGTGACAAATGACGCATTATCACACGCGCATGGTCACGGGTTCTATTCCCGTGACCACGTGCGTGTGTGATAGTGCGCTATTTGCTAATTCACCATCTCCGCCCTGATTATTCAACACCCGCCTATGCATACCAAACCTTCCATCCCTCTGGGTCCGGTGGATTGATACCATATTCGTGTGGGAGGATAAAAGCAGTGCCTCGTACATTGGCTGGCCGTCGCAAGTCATTGTATAGGCCACATACGCATTCATTATGCCACTACGATTCTGAATGGAAGTCGAATGTGTGGGCGCATCCCTCAGATGGGATTGATTAAAGCCCGAAGACTTTATCCTTCTATCCTTTATTCTCGGATTAGTCCTTAAGATCCGCATCTATTTCAGGGTTCAAACATCGGAACTTCCTGATGTATCCGATCTCGTGTGCAAGTACAAAGTCGACGAAGAATCCAAACTATTCATAGCTCGTTGGCATGCCGAGCACAGTGAAGTAGATGTTTCCGCTGCATCGAAACCCTCGGCATTGAGTGGATATCGCGAGACTGCTGACCTTGTAATATGTCCTGTTACTCACCAATACATGTCGGTATGTAAGATTCCATGTGGTTCCATATTTTCTTTAAATGTTCACTTTCCTTTCCCTTTTCAGGCTGTACTGAACAAAACCGATCTGAATTACGGGCAATACGGTTTCCATAACTTCTACAGGATTGAACTGATGAAACGACGTGACACGAACCTTTGGATTCTGTTCACAAATTGGGGACGAATCGGTATGGGACGAGGCGAATTCCAGACAACACCGTTCAGCACTCTTGATGCAGGTATTTTTATAATTAAGTATCGCTTCTAAAAGAGACAGCAACCCATTTAGTCCATTTAGTCGTTACAAGAACTCTTTGTTTTCTCAGGAGATCTCTCCTAACTAGGAAAGCCTCTATCCATCATCAACTATCTGGCAAAATAAACTCCGAAAAGAAAAAAGAAAGTCTTGTGCACTCTGTGGGGTTCAACCGCTTCCACTTTTAGCTATGAAGGAGTTCAAATCTGTGTGGCGATCAAAGACAGGGCAAGATTGGGGGCTATTCTCGCAGTTCCAGGTTCTCCCCAAAAAATATCGATTGGTGGAGGTGAGTATGAAGTTCACGTTGAGTTACCGGAAATTTTATCTTAGGATTTCGTTTTGAGTAATAGTCGTGAGTAAGAATAACGTAGGTGCTTTCAGACAGTGAAGAAGATCAGCAATCTTTCCGAGATTTCTTTCAATTTCGTAGAAACAAAGGAGGAATCTCTCACGAGAAGAACAATCCAGGATATCAGTAATGTGCAAAAGCTGAAAAGTTATGCCAAGGAGGTAAATTCATTCCCTTCGACGTATTTTCCTACTCTCAGGTCTTCCATTCTTACTCCTTTAGTTTTTGATTCGGAACCTGAACACTAATCACATTTCCTAGACCAACTTTTCCATTCCAACCACACGCCATTGAAATGTGAAAGCCGTTGGGGCCTTTTACCAGTCCCAGCTCAGTGAATGATCCACAAATGAGTGGTTCCAGATGGATCGGTCAATGTTGTGTCCATTTGGTCATATCAGCGAAGCAGCTATCGAGAGAGCTCGTACCATTTTGAACGATTGTGAGAAGAACGTGCAGGATCTCGAGAAAATTCTGGCCAGAGAGAGTCACAGCGATGGTGATGTGCTGAAGGCATTCGAAACGAGTGTGAGTTGTTCTTGGATGGTAGCACTCGCAGTTCTCAGTTTGGTACTGTGAAGATATTTTTCAGCGGTTGCTCTCGGGCGAGTTCTACAACGTATTCCCGATCGCAGATTTCGAGTACGGTGCTGTAAAAATTTTTGATAATGTGAGTGCTTCACTGCTCCGTGCTTTGCTGTTGGAGTCCTCGTTCAGCTCTCTGAGGCTCTTTCCTCTCAGGGCCTTGTTGTTTACCAGTCCGTTGTCAACATAATGCAACTTCTGCTTTTAGAAGGATGAAATCAATCGCGCACGTGAAACCCTAAATCGTATGACGGAAGTTGAAGTAGCCACACGTCTTCTAACTGCCGCTGCCTATCGCAAAGATGTCGACAAAATCAGGTAATTAGCCACTTCCTCTAACTTTTTTGGGTTTCTTGGAGCCTTTCAGGACTTTTTCAGAGGAGACCTTCTTGTTTCAGCTATATAATAGCAGCATTGGAGTGCCGGTTTACTGAGATGAGTCCGACTGCCGATATGAGCCAGAAAATCCTCCGGTATATCCACACGACGGGCGGTTCCGGTTGGAAAGTCAAGGTTCATACATGCTTGCCATCTCCTACATTTTAGAGTAGAAATTTCTGATGGTAGTCTCTCACGCCCAGTTTTTGCCCATGACCTCTAACGGTGTTCTGTGGAATTGGCTCTTTTCCACTTTTATAGCTTCGAAATAGATTTGGCCGATGTACATACCCAAAGTGGCCGTGTTATGCTGGTCTTGCTGAAACTGCACTATTCACAATGAAGCATTAAGACACGGCGAATAGCGCGCTCATGTGGGAGACATCCAAACGGTTACAGACGGCCATCTTGTACAGCCCCTTTTTGCTCATTTTCTGATGTCGAATATTTTTTGAATCCGCCAATTTTTGCTCTTCCTTCGCCATGTTTCGCACTATTCTGCCCCATAGCTTTCATTAAAAAGTAGGATAAAGTTTTTGGTGTTAATCGGTCCCGTCTGAGGGCGCCCCCGCACTCGACTTCCATCCAGAATGGTTGTGGCGTAATGGCTGCTTTCATAGTCCGCCGGCCGGCGTGCCGGCGGAGGCAGTGCTAGGGGGGAGGAGGGAGGCAGACAGTGTAAGGCAAACAGTCCACGCCCCTTCGAAGGTTGTTTGTTTTCAACCCCTCGAAGGGGCGTGGACTGTTTGCCTATCCGTCTGCCTCCCTCCTCCCCGCTAGCACTGCCTCCACGCGGGCACGCCGGCACGCCGGCCGGCCGGCGGACTATGAAAGCAGCCAATGAGTGCGTATGGGGCCCATACAGTGGCTTGCGGTGGTAGAAGTCAGTGCTTTTATCCTCCCAGGCGAGTCTGGTACCAACTCATCGACCCCAGAGGGATCGAAGGCTTGGCTGGCCTGGGCGGAAATCAATCCGGGATTCGATCACGTGACAGTGCACGTGATATAGTGCGCCACCTGTTACTACATACACTTAAACTGGATACCACCGATTTATCGGAAAGTGTGCTTTTGAAGAGGACGCTTCGAGATCAGCGTGGACGTGCTTCCTTTGACTCATGACTTTCTCAACCCAAACTTACCGCATTTCCCGGATCCTCTAAGCAGCAAATTCATTGGAAACCAGGCAAACAGAGAAACAGAATTCTGCCTTTCTATTACGGATCGTGCAGCTTCCTCCAAAAATCCTCTTTTTCTTCTTCTAGGGTATTCTGCAAATAACTCCGCGAGATGCCACTTTGAACTTTGCCGATTTCATTGGCGACGGGAACCAAATGTCAGTTGATTATTTCAATTACTTTTAACGGTCTCGAATATTTACAATAGCCAACTCTCGTTTCAGGTTTCTTTGGCATGGAACGAAAGCCGTGAATCTGTTGAGTATCTTGAAGGACGGTTTTCTTATAAACCCGCGTAACTCTTCAATTACGGGTAGATTGTTCGGAGATGTGAGTTCTGATTTTGCAAAAAATATTAATAGTCAGTTACTCAGTTTGACGAGGTTTGCATTAATCTAATTGGCCTTCAAGAACTATTAGGTTGAGTCATAAGTCCTCGAACAAAATGATAGCGATGACTACTAGAGATCATAACTCGGCAAAGAGGAGTCGTAAATGGACGCGCGTGGCATTGTTAGATAGAGCATGAAAAGCTTTTCAAAATACTTGCTAAAGAACACACCTAACTGTTTGCTTGCCTGCAACCATGCCCTATGATTTCAAGCCGTCGCGACTCCACCTCCGCAACACCATCCTAATTCTTTTTTTATCTGGCCAAGAACCCGCAGATATCGATAGACGTATTAAGGAAGTTTACAAGAAGGGTGCTCCTGCTAGATGCACAATTTAAAGGTGGCACTCGAAGTTCACGTTGGACGACTATTCCTTCGAAAATGAAGACCATCCGGGATGCTCAATGCAGTTGGATTTGGAGGTGCTTCGGAGCCAGGTGGAAGCCGTCTGTATCAAACTACTCGTGAACTGGCAGTCACCCTTGGGGAGTCAGTCCACAATTATTCGTGGATTGAAGTCAATTGGCAAGGTGCCAAAGCTCGGTCGATGGGTGCCTCATGCTTTGAAGCAGTATGACGTGGATCTTCGCGCCGACATGGCACTTTCTCTCCTCACGCGCAAGCGCAGAAGATGGTCAAGTGTACTCCTCAGGATGCATTTGGAAGAGCTTTTCATACTCTATCTAAGGATGCCCCGCGCGTCCATTTTCTTCAACTCTTTCCCGAGTTATGATTTCTAGAAGTCATTACCTCGACATTGTCAGAGGACTTATGACTCAACCTAATGCTACAGTACCCGGTGTTAGTCGCCATTTGGTTGAGAATTATGTTCCCAGTTTTGGTTTGTTGAAAGCTGTCAGTTAATCGAGAACCAGCTGGTGGATTTGAAGCCAAAAAGATGAAGGTTTACAGAGTCCTGATAACGAACCCAGAGCGTCCGTATATGGCGTGAACGTCAACTTCTCTCTTACCTCATAGCATAATAGTACCGAGTCTTGATAGACTAAGGACAAAGCAGTAGCTCGTGGAGGCAAAACTTTAGGTCTTTCGGTCAGGTATATGAACAAATTCCATCGGACATGATGTTATCGTTGGCATAAGGGCATATTTCATGATAGCAGGGCTTCAAAAATGAGAATGTAGGAATGAATAATTAGAGGGTAAGGATCAACAATTATTAAAAGAACAACTTCTCAAAAAACGCCTCTGAACACCAGCGATGATGTCATCTCTTCGCAGCTTCTTACTAGGAAGTTTATGGCAAAGGGAATGAGCATCTGGCTATGATAGCTTTCTGATATCGCAGAACAGTTAGACAATTGCCCTTTCACCACTAGCTTTTTCTTTTGTAGGCTTCTAGCTATGTGGCTGTAATGTACATTAAGAGGAGCCCTTTCCATTGTATCTCCTCTGAAGAGGATTCTTGGCGCGGCTGTTCCACAATTTTGGGCGTGAGGCTCCGCGAAGGTGATTGATTAGGTGTACCTGCTCGAAGATGATATGCCTAGGCCAGCTAATCATGGAGCAACCTTTGTAGATCTCCCATCCTTATTGCTTCTCAGACAAACACTGCATATAATTCCACGATCTGCTATACCTCAGGCCTTTCTTTTCCTGAAGATGAGGAACGCCTCATAGTCAGAGCTTGACCAATTCTCAGAGTAAACGTCTTAAAGGCACGGTTCACGACAAAAAAAGTTACTGAGTTCTTACCTTATTAATACTCAGCGGCCCCCATGGGTTGTAGAAGGGACCCTCTCATTCCCCCAATATCGACGTCCAGGGCATAGTGGCAGCCCCGTTGTTGCCGTAGTTCGCTTTCCCGCCCCTCGATCGATGTCACGTTAGACGAGTGTCGAGACAATACAGATTGCTATTATTCGTTCTAGGAGCCACGCACAACCAGCTAATCGCCGAGTGATGAGGCGATGTTTTTCTCCCTTTTTTTTCCTCTGTTTTTCTTTTTGCTGCCGCGATCCCTTATTCAATTTCCTATTCCAAGAGGCTGAAAAAGGTGAGCTACTTTTGCTGTTACTAGGGGTTTTTTGTTTATTTGTGCTTATAAGTGAATGAATTTTTGCTTACCATTGTCTGTTATTCGCACCAGGACCCACACGCGCGCAGTGAAACACACTGTTTAGCTCGTCCAGACGCCCCACTTTTCTTTATTCTGTTCTCATTCTCGTCCGGCCCCATTTTTAACGGTTTTTCGAAGCCTTCTCTCACTTCGGAAACACCGATTCACGCAGTTTCTTTTTCTTCATCGCACTATTTTCGATCTTGTCTTCCATTTTTCATCATAATCTGATTTACCCAAAATTGTCGTGAACTGTACCTTCAAGAAACCATAATGTGAACAGAATAGCCAAAACCTAATCGGCACTCAGTGAGCGGGAAGGTGGCCCATGTTCCAGAACCGTTGTTTATAACAACTGCTGACACCTCTCAAGGGATGTTCCCGATTAAGGGCAAGTTTTGAAGGGGTAAGCTGGGATTGTGGGTCGGCGTACAGTACTAGAAGGGAACAGCAGGGTAAGCACGTTTGCATTAAGGATCCCTTTTCCCTCCCCGGGAGAGATTTAAAAAATTAACAGCGTATGGGAGCAAGTGTTACTGCGTAAAAAGTGAGCCTCGCTGTGCATGTTGCGAAAATTGGTGCAAACACAGCGAGGCCGTTCAAACGTCCGTTTCTGGGCGTGATTACCAGGCTGCCAGTTTTCAAGCCATCACTGCGCGGCAGTTAAACCGTTTTCCAACCTCTAATAGCCTAGATACAACAAATTCGTGTCAGTAGAGAATTTTTGAATCATTTTTCTCCCGGATTTAGTCTTTCATGTGAATGCATGAGTCTATTTGTATTTCACTCCGAAATGTGTACGAAGTTGTATAGTAGTATTTTGCATCGAAGGGGAAGGGGTAACCACTTGACGTCAGCATCCGAACGCTAGAAAAACCGCTGACGAATTCAGTGTTAGGAAGCGAATTACATTACGAATTCAGTAAGCGGGAGCATGTTACAGGGAATCTACTTGGCGGATTCATTCGAGAAAAGTACTCATTACTGTCAATCGTCTGCTAATGGTTACAACTATATGCTGCTGTGCCGAGTAAGATTCCTAATTGGTTTAGACGTATTAAAGCATTCGGTCGAATATGTTCTCGAGTCCGCGACGTTAGTTCATCTTCCTTCAGGTAGCTCTAGGCAAATGTTATTCGCTGAACTCCTGGAACTACAATTGGGGTGATCAACTTCCAAAAGGCTACGATTCGCTTCACGCAGTCGGTCAGAAGCACCCATCATCATCCATCACTGAAAATGGTGAGTCTACTTGCGTTCGAAAACTGCGGGCATCCTAGCCGGACAGTCAAGATTGAGGGCAAGTTTTGAAGGGTTAAGCTGAGACTGTGGGTCGGCGTACAGTACTAGAAGGGAACAGCAGGGTATGCATGTTTGCATTAGGGATTTTCTCCCTTCCTGGGGGAGATTAGAAAATTAACAACGTATGGGAACAGCTACTACCTTTCACTACTGATCACTCAAAAATGTTTCTGTAGAGTCAAGAGTTTTATTGTATCTCCGTGTACCATCACAGTGGGAAGCGGTTAGTCGAAGCGTGCTTCCCGAACTCCCGAAGGTCGGTAAAGCCCTAAAGAGGGGAGCAACGATCTCGGGTAAGGGCTCACGCCCGAACCACCGTGCTGCCTCTCCTTCACTCGTATGCATATCTATGCAGTTTCGCGTGGACTGGGAACGAATTGATAGGAAATGGTTCAGACTATTTCAATCACGTTCAAAATTTATTTTTGCCTATTCCGCTTGAGGACGGACTGGGTAATCGCGCAGTTTAGGTGTGGTGATGCCCTTGGCAGATTTCGTCGATCGTTCATCACGATGTTATGGAGCCTTGGAGTTTTCCGAGTATATAGTCAGAGATAGTAATCGCATTTTACCGCAATATCTTGTTATCTATCAATGATCTATAAAAAGTTACTGTAATTGTTGACTAGCCGCTAGTCTTCTGATTTATAACATACTTATCCTCTTGTTATACGCGTTGAATGTTATTGTTGACAAACATTTATTGTGAAAATGATTTCCTTCCACTATCTTTGTTTACAATTATGTATAATCTTTCTTTACAACTATGTATAGCATACAGAACACTTGGATTTTTGACCGGTTTTGATATCTTTAATGTTCTTTAATTTCCCTTTTTGGTTCTTTGTATATTGTACTGCTGCATGGCACAGGGTGAAAGCTCTGGGAGTCCACTTCAAAGGGAGGGTTAGTCAAAGTGACGGAGTTATCGCCTCCGGTTCTTTCGCAAACAGTATGATTGTCATTTGGTTATGTGCAATGTAGGGGGAAGGAGGTGGATGTAGTTGTGGGAACCACCACTTTGTAAAAACCATCTGAGTACCACAACCGGGACCGGAATATCCATGGAAATGTCTGGAGGCCACCCGTAACCCCATGGCTACGGCTTTGTGCTACGGGGCAGGCAACACTCTTTGTCTTGTCCAGGATTTTTGTGAAGACGCTTCATGAAAAGCATCCCAGAACGGCAAAACACTTGTTTGTTTGGGTTCCTTTTTCTGATAACTGAGTTCTTGTGCTTTTGCTATAGCCACTTGATTATGTTGGCCAAGCAGTCAGACGGATATGTTCCTTAATTCCTTTCTCTCGTGCGACCTGTCGCACTGAATACTCTGTCTAGTTTGTTCGGCTGACCCTTTAGAATTACTTCAGAGTAGAGTAATCTGTAATCTTTGGGGCATCATTTTGGCACCATCTGGCCACGACCACGTTCATAACATCATTTGTCTGAAATTCCACTGAGTACATTGCCTTTCCTAGGTCAAAAAGGCCATGACTGGCCTTTCATGGTTGGTTGAATGGGTCGAAGACTTCCCTGTCTTAATGATGCCTCTATATTTTGTCTTCGGGCAAATTGTTTATAATGTAAAGCTTCTCAAGTGTAATCAAGAGTACCATTTGATGATATTTGGTGATTGTTCTTGTTGCATGACCAAAAAAAGTCGTTCGAGTTACTTTTTCATGGTTTCTTTTCGAACATCAGCAAAGTAGTTAACAGATTAAGTGAGAATTAAAAAGCGCCTAGTCAAGCCATGGACACCTTCTTTTCGTAGGCTGTTCCTGATTCATAGAACCTCAGCAGCAAATAAGAAGTAAATTTGGAAATTTTTGCTCTCATCAGTCTCCCGTTGCCCTAGAGATGCCATTGGTGGTGCGATTCACCTACTACGCGCGCAAGCAGTTTTTCAATACCTACATGTTCAGTAACCTTACTTTCCCTAGGATTCACTCATGAGTGCTAAAGGCGGTGGTGGTGTAGTGGCAAATGGCGCATTATCCCACACACATGGTCACATGTTCGAATCCCGGATCGATATCAACTTCGACAAAACAAGCCTTCTATCCCCCGCTGTCGGTTAGTTTGATCCGGTCTCGTCTGGGAAGATAAAACATTGGTTAAGGTTGACCCCGCAAGACATTGTATAGGCTACATACGCAGTCTATACGCCACAAAGATTCTGAATTGAAGTCGAGTGTGGGGGCGCATCCCCCAGACGGAATTGATCAAAGCCCGAAGACCCAGTCCCTTATCCTCTCATGAGAATGGAACTCTTCTTGATTATGACCCCCCTTAGAGTGTAGAATTGAACTCAAATTCTGACTCCTCTAAATGAATGCTTAACATTAATTCCAATGCTTTTCCAGATGCTCAGTTGATTTCGTTGGTATCGTAGTTGCTGTGAGAGTGGACCGTAGGGGTCCATTCTCAAACCCGATCCCATAAGTAAATATGTTTTGAAGCAAGTTGTTAGGTCTCTTTGTTTTCTCATCCGATCGATTTCTTCCTTTTTCTGAGTACCACTCACATAGGAGCCATGTGTCTTTGAAGTCACAACCTCTCTCAAGCTGTTCAATATTAATGAGTTAGTCTTTCTCCTGGACCCTTCAAATAAGGATTTGTGCTGGCGCCTTTCGTGAAATCCAATTTTTTTTTTCGAGATGTGGCCAGGCCTCGATTTGGAGCGCGCTCGCCAATGGCTGCCGAACTGTCACTGAAATATTGCAGGACTCCCAGCAACTCTATAAGTTTCACTTCGAGCAGATGATGACCGTATGATTGAGTGATCCCATATGTACTGGATGAGCTGAAAATTCCGTCTAATTTATAGCCGCAACAGACGTTGCATGATAGAGATGAATTTCGTTCGTTGCAGATGTATTGGTTCGTTCGTCTCGCACTAATGGGCAGACGACAAGCTTTCAGTGTGTATAAAAAGAGTCCCACATCTCATTTTCTGGCCTTAATTAAATTCCGTTACCAATTGGAGCTCCAACAAAACAGATAGATTCTCCCAGAGCCATTCTGACATTTGCTCAGGCAGCGTCGCCTATGAGTGCCCCGGGTTTTCATCTTTTTCCAATTCCCAACCTCTTCGTGTCCCCATTGAATTTTGTGCACGGATTTCTGAAGCATCTTCTGCTTGTCTGTTCCGATGCCAGGCTTCTCCCACTGTCCTCATGCGTGGACGAAAATGGACGAACTCTGTTGTAGTGAACCTTGAGGTGCTTCAATGGTGCCTTTTAACGCCCACGGTCTCTACGCATCTCCAGCTGTATGAAGGCATTATTATTAAGGTTTTAGTTATAGACTTGGATGTATTTACATTATTATCTGCTTTCATGAGCTAGTTACGGTATCTCCTGAAATTCATTTTACAGTACGCTGACTAGCGCGACTCGAGGGCCCAACGAGAATCCTTGCAACTTCAAGAAATTATGCCTTCCAAGGGCGCTGATTCCTCATGCGCCCGACACTTTGGGCCGTTTCGTTGTAGCTGTTCGCCCAGTTCTCGTCAAAAGCTCCTATTTCAGCCATTCAAGAACAGGTCTCATATGCGAATCCTTTTACGATGCGAGTGGGATGTAAATTCGTCCCAGCAGAAATGCAATCGAATTTTGCCGCAGAGCATTCTTCGGCTTACATTCTTATGTTTTTTCGAGTCTATTGAGTGTCTTGGAATAACTCGGCGTTGTAGTCTCAATCTATAGGAACTCATTATTGCGCGGCTGGCACTCTCAATCGACCGACACAAGCGAACCCCTCCACCTCTACTTGCCAGCGGCATTAGCCGACGACAAACTACTATCGATGTATGAGCTCATGTAGATGCCCCNCCCCGTCATTTCCATAATGAGGATTTGCAGGATGGATGTATTAGCCATCTGCGGCTGCTGCGAACGATCTTTTGACAGAGATAAGCAGCACATTAAGGGGAATGGAATTCAATGCATGTGAGAAAACTGTCGTCTTCACATCCCTCCCTGCCCATCCATTTCGGACTTCAGAGCATTTCGCAATTCCTCCTCAACCATTTTCAGCTGAAATTGCTTGCGAAACAACTGCAGACGACAATTGGCAACTGGAAACTCGTCCCAATTAAGGATGAGTTCGAGCGCCAGCACTGTGCTGCGACAATCAGCCGGGAAATCATTAGCAGGAAATCGATCCCCGACTTAATGCCTCAGTCTCTCCTCTTTGCCTCGACACTGGACCTAAAATGACACACAATCGCTCACTAAGCACATCTCTCGGTCTCGCTGAGAGACTCGGCTTGTCGGCACCAGTCAGTCGTCGGCTGGGCCCAGCCAGCGTCTTATTGCCTCAATCGTCTTCGCTCTCGCCTACGGATTCTCTCTATTGCTCACAGCCTTGTCGATGCTTTTCTCTTTTTTTGTAGTTGAAATTCGCTCGCCCCCTCTATTCTGTGCCTTTTAGTGCAGCGAAGCTTGTTTTGAAGAAAATGCGAACATAGAGAGCGGAATGAGGGGGTAGAGTGATGCTCTGAAACAAGCCCTCCTGAGAGTTGCTTCCATTCATCCAAACCTCATACCTCAATCAGTTTTCAGAAAGATAGGACTAGATCGCGCACGTGGCCGTTGTCATGCCCGTGTACTTTTTTTCGATATCTGCTCCGAAGCTTTGGGCAACCTCATTTAGTCTCTTGCTTTGATTTCTCATATGCGCATATTTTAGCGATTAATTTAAACTTTAGTAATCGGAAATTGTTTTGAGGAACTCCCCACCGTTGTTTCTCCTTCCCGAAAGAATTGGAGGAGGTGTGCTCCCCCAAGATCAAATCTGACCCGTGTCATCTAAGACCACCTTGCCCTCAGCCTCCCCCTGAATCATATGGAATCAAGTTTGTAGGAGTAATGCTCATATCACGGTTCTTGGATCGGTCTCCATGAAGGCAGGCTGAGCATGAGGGAGAACCATTACGCTCAATTGTTAGGGTTGCTTGTAGGACAGGGCCCAATAGCCGGTACCGGTGAGTAGCCTCTCCCTCACTCTGCCCACCAGTCCAGTTTATCTTCTTTCTCTACCGAAGCCACGTCTTTTGATGCCACCCATTTGGTAGCATTCATAGTAAATTCTGTTCGCAGCCATAAAATGAGAGCAGTAAATCTTCAATGAAAGAGCTTTGGTGGTGAATCGTAAAGTGTAGTTCCGTACACCCCCGATTCACATCTGAGAGAATAGCGCTCCTGGTGCTTACCCAGAAGTGCCTAATCAAAAAACAGATCATAAAAGCCGTCTAACCCCAGTAAAAATAGAAGATTTGATTTTCAATTCCGCAATTAATTTTAATGATATGCGGAAAGGAGGGAAAGAAGTCGTCGTTCAAACATATTCCCAGTCGTTGACGTAATATCCCATCCAATGGGATCACCTGTTTCCCCTGGAAGCACAACTTTTACTGCTGCAATGTTGGCCTTATCATCATATGTCATTGGATGCGGGCGATTATTGCTCATCATGTGGTTGGCACAACATTGACCATACCTTCCCCAGTCGTTGACTACATTCCTTCCTGACCAGCTTATCCCAAGAAGGGGCCATCCACGTCATCTTCCTTTTCATTGTGATATTTCCAATTC